GTTATGATGTTACAATTAAATTATAATAATCATGATCTTTCTTATCTTCAGAATGAACTTGTATGCTGCGGCGTCCTCTCCGGCAACCGTAACTTCGAGGGTCGCATCCATCCCAACACGCGAGCTAACTACCTCGCCTCGCCACTACTCGTCATTGCGTACGCGCTCGCCGGAACTGTGGACATTGACTTTGAAACTCAGCCGTTGGGTAAGATATTGCTTAACTCGCTGGTACTGTCCCAGTTTGTTTAGCTCGCCAATACTGCCCCAGTTATTTAGCTCGCTGGTACTGTCCCAGTTGTTTAGCTCGCCAATACTGTCCCAGTTGTTTAGCTCGCCAATACTGTCCCAGTTATTTAGCTCGCTGGTACTGTCCCAGTTGTTTAGCTCGCCAATACTGTCCCAGTTATTTAGCTCGCTGGTACTGTCCCAGTTATTTAGCTCGCTGGTACTGTCCCAGTTGTTTAGATCGCTGGTACTGTCCCAGTTATCTAGCTCGCTGGTACTGTCCCAGTTGTTTAGCTCGCCAATACTGCCCCAGTTATTTAGCTCGCTGGTACTGTCCCAGTTGTTTAGCTCGCTAATACTGTCCCAGGTATTTAGCTCGCTAGTACTGTCCCAGTTGTTTAACTCGCCAATATTGTCCCAGTTATTTAGCTCGCCCATAGTATCCCAGTTGTAAACAACGAAAACAATTAACTAGGCAAGTTTTGACGCTGGCAAAATAGCACACGGCCCACCTGATGGTAAGCAGTTACCGTGGCCTATGTACGCCTGCAACACTTGGGGCATTACATGCGTCTTGCCGACCCTTAAGAAACCTATTCACTCCCCTCTTGAAGAACCCCATGTTGTAGCCCACTGGGAAAACCATGGCAGGGAGTTCATAGTAGTAGTAGTAGCACGGAGTCTGGAATTGTGCCCGGTATATGGCAATAGGTTCCCTATTACATGGGACTCATAACATAAATAGTGAAAAGTGGGTGTTACATTGTACAGTGGCATTAAGTGCCGAAATGTTCACCTCTGCATACCGCTTCGGGGATTAAAGACGTTGAGTACTATTTACGTTAAATTTAATGATTTTAATAGGGTAGACGACTAATTTTTATTTTAATGTCCGTCTGGTAGATTATTTAAAAACATTAGACACGTATTTTTTATTTTCTCACGGAATAGTTATAAATAGTTTCGAAGATATATTGATTTGAAATGTCGCGTGACGTCACTTCTCAGTACATTTTATACTAAGAAATGACGTTTTAGCCCCCACTCCTAAACTTTGATTCGTTATATCTAAGTACTGTACTGTTTTACTATACGACAAAATAAAAAAATACGTGTCTAATATTTTTTTATTACCTAAGTTACGGACTAATTATATTTTTAATTTTCATACCCTGTCATCATCCCCATTTATTTTAATACAGGTACTCGTGCTGACGGTACTCCGGTATATTTGCGTGAGATCTGGCCCACGCGCGCTGAAATACAAGAGGTCGAGAACAAACATGTTATTCCTGGGATGTTCAAGGAGGTAAGATTCACATCATTATCATCTATCCTCATCGTGCAATTAGACTGCACAGTTAGCGCTGGGCAACTGGCTGCCGTGTAATGTGGCGCGGGTTCGATTCCCGCACGGTGCAACTGTTTGTGTGATCTACAGATTGTAGTTCCGTGTCTGTGTGTCATGTGTATGTGACCAGTGGCGGATGGTGGGTGGTGCACTTTATTGAAATATTAAAATTAGTAAATGTAATAAAACAAAAATTACCATTAATATGGCATAAAAATACCTACATCAATGGGACGACATTTTTATCATTTTGTTTGTGTGCCATTTGCCAAATAAATGCTTTTCCTATCTTTTCTTTCTTTCTTTCTTTCTTTCTTTCTTTCTTTCTTTCTTTCTTTCTTTCTGAAGCGAAATGGTTTTATTAAAATCGTGTATTGTTTTAGTATGTTTGAAAATAAATATTAAAATGTTAATGGTAATATAGAAATAAAGATGGAGTAAGTAATTGATGTTTTGTAATTTTAAAATGTTTTCAACTGGTGGTTCAGCGCACGAGTACACTTAAGGTACAGCCGCCACTGTATGTGAACTTGTATGTTTGTACACGTACTTACGACACAGGAGACAATCTTAGTGTGGGGCAACGTTTTATAAAAAAAAACATCCACGTACTGTCCACTACCCCCCACAGTGCTCCCCCAATATGTGTTGTGATGTGCTCTAAACCTTCTCCGTGTGAGAAGAGGCCTTTGGTCAGCAGTGGACACTTATAGCCTGTTGGTGATGACGCAAATAAATTTATGTAACATAACATCATCACGCCTTTTATCCCTGATGGGGTAGGCAGAGGTGCACACAGAAATAACACCCACTTTTCACTATTTCTGTTATAAGTCCCATGTAATAGGGGGTGAGTCTATTGCCAAATACCGGGCGCAATTCCAGACTCCGTGCTTCTACTGAGAATTTTTTTAAAACCCAGTATTACTTTGCCCGATCCGGGAATCGAACCCGTTGGCCGAGTGGTCGCAAGTGCGACTGCCAGGCAAGGGGTCTTGGGTTCGATTCCCGGGACGGGATTTTAAAAAACTCAGTAGTAGCACGGAGTCTGCAAACGTGCCCGGTATATGGCAATAGACTCACCCCCTATTACATGGGACTCATAACATAAATAGTGAAAAGTGGGTGTTACATTGTACAGTGACATTAAGTGCCGTAATGTTATATAACTATGTATTTTTTGATTACTATTGTACACTGGACGACCCCCTTTATTTCCAACTCCTGATTACTGGCTCCATCCAAAGGTTGTCTGTAAGAAATTGCACTCATTTTTTTATTTTTTATTTTTCTCTTCATGTTTTTATGTTGTACGGTCAAATGTCAAAGTCCACTGCCACCGTGAGTGATGTTCACACGGCAATACGCAAGTAATTTCATAATAATGTGCATAAACCCGCGTGCGTACGCACACACACACACACGCACGCGTACGCACACGGATACAGATATGCGTGTGTGTGTGTATAACCGATAGTAGTCCTACGGTGGCAGTGGACTTTTGACCTTTGACCGTACATAACGTAACATCACGCCTTCTATCCCCCGAAGGGGTAGGCAGAGGTGCACATTATGGTGTAAAATAAAGTGTAAAGTAAATAAATGATGGTTTTTTTTCCAGGTCTACGCTAAGATCGAGCTAGGCTCTCCATCCTGGCAAGCTCTGGACGTGCCTCAGGGCAAGCTGTATGGCTGGGACCCGAACTCCACATACATCAAGAAACCACCATTCTTCGATGGTATGACCAGGGTAAGTCAAGAAATTTGTATATTAGCCCATATATCCCCAAGCGGTCACCGGTGACCGCTCGCCACTAACTACATTATAGACCTTATTTCTAATGTCTAGAGACTACTTTTGTATGAAGAAATTTAGTAGTTAGACTAAAGATTTACGGCGAGATTTTCTCAGGTCACCGCGGTTATACCAAGTATTTAAATTTGTTCACCTCATCGTTGTCGTTGTGGTGAAGATGTCAACAGCCTTGGACCCCACGGCTTGTCGTGTAGCCGTAGTGCGGGTCGTTTTGCTCTACACGCGAGTATTAATGACATAATTCGTCGAGCTCTTGTCTCCGTTGGCGTGCCAGCTACTTTAGAACCTAATGGCTTGGTACGCGACGATGGCAAGAGACCCGACGGTATGTCATTATTCCCTCGGAAGATGGGTAGGGCTTTAGTATGGGACGCCACTTGCGTTGATACTCTGGCGCCATCCCATCTTCCAAGCTCAGCGTGTCGAGCCGGTGCTGCCGCTGCTGCCTGATTGGCAATTATGCTTTCGAACCGTTTGGGGTTGAAACTTTAGGGCCGTGGGGCCCAAGTGCACATCTTCTTTACAAAGATATTGTAAGGAGGATGGATGACACTTCAGATGATCGAAGGGCTGGCTTCTACCTTGGACAAAGGTTAAGCATTGCCATTCAACGTGGTAATGCTGCCAGTCTTTTGGGCACCCTACCTCACGATTTTGATGCCTTATTATAGCGTATTTATTTATTTTTACTTTTTTTTTAAGGTGTAAATATTTTAGTTCATAGTTATTTATATTTTAAGTTGTATATATTTTCATTTAGTTATAGTTAATATTAATTGTATATATAATTAAACTAGTATTTAAAACTTGTTAATTCAACGTTGTGTTGAGTTAAGTTGTTGCGGGTGAAGTGAAACCACGGGGAAGTAGGCAGTAGATATTTTTTTTTTTGAGGGAGATATCATCCAATGTCTTCTCCCGCCCGGGTGAGGCGAGAGGGAGTAAAAAAAGACAGTAGATAATATTTTCCTCCACCCAGGGCCTGAACCCTCGTCAAGGCGTCCACAACGCCCGTTGCCTGCTCCTGCTGGGTGACTCGGTGACCACTGACCATATCTCTCCAGCTGGATCTATCGCTAGGAACTCTCCTGCTGCACGGTTCTTGGCTGATAGAGGGTGAGTAGAATTACGAGCATAACATTACACCTTTTAACCCTATGAGAGAGTAGGCAGATGTGGGCTCGGCATGCTTCGGCGCTCCTGGGCCGGCTCGACCGGAGCGGTACCACCAACGACCAGACAACCGACGTGCCACAACCACGCGGAGTGTGCAGGCTGTGAGTGAGGTACCGGAGGCACTGTTCCCGTTCTCGTGGGATTTTCGGGTGTTCCCAGGTCCTATGCTATTTAATCGAATTATCAAATTCCTATTGAAGCGCACGTCTTCATCATAGTAGCTCTAATATTTAATTTCAGTTCATCAGTCGAGAATCTAAGATTTAGACAAACTTTTATCGCTTATTTTAACCCCTTAGGGGATTATTTTTTATGGCATAAGCCGGTAAACGAGCAGACGGATCACCTGATGGTAAGCAATCGGCGTCGCCCATGGACACCTAGAACACCAGAGGCGTTACAAGTGCGTTACCGGCATTTTGGGGATTCAGGGATTGGGGAGATTGGGGAAGGGGAGGTTAATTGGGCCTCCGGTAACCTCACTCACACGATGAAATTCAACGCAAGCGTTGCTTCACGTCGGTTTTCTGCTCGGCCGTGGTATCACTCCGGTCGAGCCGGCCCGTTCATGTCGAAGCATGGTTCTCCAACACTTATGCATGCAAAGTCTCAGCTCTCTCAGTTTAAAATTGACAAAGTTTGATCCCCTATTTTATCCCCTTGAGGGTGGAAATGATCAATATTCTTTCAAAGGGGATGCCTAAGGATTACTTTTTTTTAAGGGGGGAAAATCCAACCCTGGGAATCAACGCAAGAGTAGGCTAATAACTCTGCGGGCGGCCTTAGATACCCTTTTTTTTAAGGGGGGAAAATCATCGAATGACTGCTCCCGCCCGGGTGAGGCGGAGGGAGTGTCAGACTCTTACTGACTAAAAACCTCCCCGTTCCTTCTCCTGCACGCATGCCAAATTTCATCCCGATCCGTCCAGTAATATGGGCTGTGCATTGATAGATCACTATGTCAGTCAGTTTTCTCGTCTTTGAGTTATATATATTTAAATAAGCATATATCTTACAATTTTAATCAATTATTTCAGTCTACTA